GTCTCTGACGGCGAGTGTAACCGCAGAGGTTCGCGAACTCCCTGTACCCTGCGAATCTGTTAGCCGCCGCGTCCAATTGATCGTTTCCAACGAGGATATGCAAAAACTGCTCATTGCGGTCCTCCTCACCAACAATCTGTACTGCGGTCTCAACCAAAAACGAGGGATGCGGCCATGTTGCTCATATTTCATCCCTGTTCATTTGCGGGGGAGGAGGTCGTGGGCGACGTGCCGCGACGACTGTTGGCCCAAGCCCGGGGCCCCCTCGACCGCGCACAACTCTACGTCTTGGTCGACGACCGTACACCATGTCCCCATCATCTTTATTGATGGATGCTTGAGGTTGTGGCTGCTCCATTATAGTGTCGCGTCGTGAGTATCTGCAACAGATGCGGTGGAAGTCAGTATCGGTGCGCGGAACATGGGAATCAAATATCCAGAAAAAGGTTCGATCTTGCAGATAGAGTATAGCAGACAAACGACAAGCCTCCACACACCGTTTCGAGGCTTTAACTTTGACATTACAACTCCAACATCGTCGGGGTTGTTATTTTCGAGCACTAGGCTTTCATCTAGATCCACGGGTCCAAGTTCGAGGACCCGGGACAACGACCGAACTGTTTTTGTTTCTTTGACTTTTGAGAATTTTGTCCTTCGCAGCCAACAGAGTTATGCTCCTCGTCATGACCCGAACCCCGACACGACACGGAAACATACGACCCAGAGTTGTCCCGGGATTTACTGACTGAGTCGGGCGTCTGGGTCGTGCTTCCTGATAGGGAGGCCGCAGCTTGTGGCAAAGAGAAACCGAGTTGGACTTCAGTGCAGCCATGAATGTCGCGGCCCGACACAAGGAACGAAGTCGAATGGTTAGTGGAATCGACACGTGGCTTGCCCTCCTCGCACAGCAGCCGTTGCTCACGTATTGTGCAAAGAGTCTCCCGGTTATCCAATTCCATTTTATTCTTTTTCGCAAGGACGACACAATTGTTTGCACCCGAGAACACGATGCCGATAGCACAGTACATGCGTTGTTGAGGTCGTTTGTCACATCCTCTATATATTTATCTATGTCGTCGAGGTCATATTTGCCTTCATTGCCTTCTGCAATTGACTTGTCAAGGCCGTCCGTTATGCATGGTGGCAGACGACGCATACGCTCACGGAGCGAATACTTTTTTCGGTCATCATGAGGATTCATGACACAGCCACAGACTGAGCGACGTGATATCTAGAAACACAAAACAAAAAACAAGAGTCGTGAACACATTATGGATCGAGGATGACGTCGCGCACCGTTCATATACGATATATATATATATATATATATATATATATATATATATATATATATATATATATATATATATATATATATATATATATATATATATATCACAACCCCTCGTTTCTTGTCCTCTTTTCTCTCTCCGCCTACGGTTTACTGGGCAGCTCTGTTTGTGACGATATATATATATATATATATATATATATATATATATATATATATATATATATATAAAGCGTCACCAGTCCGTACGTACGGAGTGACCCAAACAGACCTCCGTATGTGCGGGCGTTCGTGGTCCCTTACGGGGTCCGAACCCGATGCCGTTCGGCCCCCGCCTAAAATTGTTTCGGGGACAAAAAAAAATTATTTTTTTCWGAGTTTTTTTTTTTTGCGAGTTCTCTGTGACGTGAGGTACATGCATGTAAAATATCAAGTCATTTGGCTAAGCGAAATAAGAATTACAAATCGCCATAGATGGCAGTGTCAAAACGTGCTCGCCCACGTATTTTTTTTTGGGTCCGCGTTCGGCCCGAACGGCCGAACGCATCCCCAAAGGGTCCCATACGTTCGGGCGTTCGGGTTCGGGCGTTTGGCCCGTCCCGATCGCCGGTTACCACATATATATATATATATATATATTGCCCCGTATGGTAACCGGCGTCCAGGCGTTTCTTACTGCGCCGTTTTTTTTTTTTTTTTTTTTGGGCACCGTCAGTGTGTTGTCCGGGCCCATTGGTCAAGGCTTCTTATGGAAAATGAGGGGGTTGCAATATATATATATATATATATATATATATATAGGCCCTTGTTTGTTGTCCTCTTTTCCCTCTCTGCCTACGGTCTACCGACCAGTTATGTTTGGCGATATATATATATATATATATATGACGTCACAAACATAACTGCCCGGTAAACCGTAGGCACAGAGAGAGAAGAGGATATATATATATATATATATAGAGGGTAACCGGCGTTCTGGACAGGCCGAATGCCCGAACCCGAACGCCCGAACGTATGGGACCCCGAACGCCCGAACGTACGGAGGTCCGCCCGGGGGCCTC